ATCTGGTTTTGGGGTACCATATTTTCAGACAAAGCCATTAATTGTCAATCGTAAAATCCCCAATGACCTTCGCAAATATAAACAGCTTCGAAGCGGGGGTTGAAAGCACCAACAAGATAAAAACTTAGCATATTAGCATGAACCATGGGTCGTAAATTCAATGAAATTCACACATGGGTCTTACAACCATGAATACTACTTAGGTAATTTGACCATATTTAACCAGGAAATTTGGGTCGGATTCACCAACTGTTAGTATGGTGCTGTCCCTACGGCTCCAAGAACTGGGACAGTGGGTCCAAACATCTTCTGAGAGGGTCTTTGCACTGTTAGGGAATTATTAGGATTTACATTGTGATTTCACGAGAAACAGGTAAGACTTGACCAACTATCAAAATGGAGCTAGCATAAATATCTTGAGAGATTCTAGGAATTGGGACAAAGGCATGGTTTGAATTTGGGGGATCATCCCAAAATAGGCTGGGAAAATCTACAGGAACCCGTCGGTTTTTACTATCAAATATGTGGCTATCCGCCAATTGTTCCTTAAACCAATCCACTGAAATTTGCAAGACTCGCCAGATTAATCATGATGTTCAGCAAGTGGAACCCATACTGATCCACTTAGAAGATGCCAGAAGGGTTAAAATTTCAGACATGAGGTGTTATATACCCCTACTTGGTTGTCGAATCCACTTTTATAGTCATAGTTACTGGTTAGTAGTCCTGGATTGCCAGGGTGATCAAGCAGCCATGTTCAGAAGGCATAGTTTTTCGTGGTTTTGGGGCGATTTATTGTGATGTTTCTCGTTTCTTACTGCCTAAATCCGCTAAATCGTCATGTGTTGTTGCTGACTGCGCTTAGACTTTGATTTATGTTGCTTGACGTCATACAAGTCCCCATTACTGTTGGCTAAGATCAGTCGGAAATCATCATTTCTGTTGACTAAAATTGAGGAAAGTCCTCAGTTCCCTGAAAAAAATACTCAACCATTGAAGTTCCTATTTCCTGTCGATTGAAATCATTGAAGTCCCTGTTTCTGTTGATTGAAACCATTGAAATCTTGTTTTCTGATGGCTGATTGAAATTATTAAAACCTCGAAATCCCTATCTTTGTTGATTGAAACCATTGAAATCGCTGTTTCTTTTTTTTGAAATCATTGACATTCCTGTTTCTGTTGGGATAAACAAATCCATCTTCGTTTGGTGGCACCAAGCACATCCTGCTAGGCCAACTGATAGTGCCGACCTCAGAAATGGCCTGGAAAGCCAAAGGCAACATAGCCAGGTGCTTCTTCTCTGCCAACATGAATCCTGTTGTGAAGCAATATAGATATGGAAAATCCATGAAATTCCAAGAACATCCATGCAACTCCATGGTTTCTTCAAAAGATTATCTGTATATAAATGCTGGGTGTTCCAGTGTTCTATGTCGATTGTAGCACACATCCTTCCCAAAAATGGCAATGTGATTGGTGATCTCGGCCCAGCAAGCTACATAGGTGATTGTTTAATACAATGCAGCATCCCAAAGAATATCCAACATTTCAGCGTTTACAGACATTGATGTATACTGTGTATACATATGGGGGTGTCATAAAATGGTGGTACCCCCAAATCATCCAAGTCATTAGACCGTTTTAGTATGTGTTAGTATGTGTTAGTATTCAATCATATTCAAACCTATGGTTTTGTGAATCCCCCATTTTAAGAAATCCCCATATACTGTGTATGCAGTCTATGCATATACATTGAAATATAGTTTTCATGTCATCAAACTGGCCGTCGCAACTAGTCAAAATCCAATGTATGCTGCTCATGCTTAAGCTCCAATCAGTTGCACTAACTATAAAGGGATGATACAGGGATGATACAGGGATGATACACGGATGAAATTGGATAGAAACTATACATACAGATACGTATATGCATGTAATACATATATATATATATATACATGTGTAATATATATATAGATTGTATACATATAGTAGAAGGATCATTGCACTTAGCAACTGGCCAATACCCCAGTTAGTCCCCTAAGCGGGCAGCTTATCCCACACTGGATTGTTGCTAATTGGGATGATCCTCAAAGTATCGTCGCAGAATGTTCAAAGAATTGCACTGTCATGATCCACTTTTTACCACCAATAACTCCAATTTACCAACCTAAGTGCCCAAAAATTGGGCAGACTCTGTGATAATAGTATAAAATGCCACTATCCATATCCATCCATCCTCATCAAAATAAAGAACTCTTCCCACATCAAGTCATCAATTTATTAAAATAATATACATGTAGAAAAACAAAAAACGAGAAAGTATCTTGCAACAAACAACAAGCAAACTGTTGCTATTCTACTAGGTGGCCCTCCCAGTTTAATGTTTGTGGCTGTAAAAAAAACATCTAACTAGTTCGATCTATCCACCACAAACCAACTAGTTATAGTAGTGGCTTTATGAACCCATAAAAAAACACCGTTCAGGCCATTTAGAGGGTCCCTTCTGAAGTGACTATATCCCATAATGAAAATATTGTTGGTATATGATTGGTGTATCGGGTTCTATTCCATTATTTGTTGGTATTTTTCACCTTCCAGCTTGTAGTTGGGTTCATAGTTGTTATCCCCATTGTGGACATTTGTGGACCCACTATATCCCATTGTACCACCAGTAGTTGTGTATTAAATCGTCACGGAACCGCGCTGAGGGCAGCCCTCCTTTGCCGCCCCCGAGCGTTCTGGACGGCTTTCCAGATCCGGAGCGCATCGAGCAGAGGCGGAGAGCATGGGAAGCAACAGACATGGGGATTTATGAATGGTGCTGTCAGAATAGATGTTGATTGATGGTGGCGTCACTTTTTTTTTGATGGTGGATATGGTGGTTTCACAGATTTTACGTATTTAATGGAGGGTGGCTGCTAGCCATATTTAGGATATGTTTGGATTATGATCCGTGATCCCCAAGTATTCTTCAGATTTAAACCAGACAATACAAATTTAACTGGTGTGACATATATATATATATATATTATAATCTTATATTATATTATATTATATTATATTATTATATTATAGTATAGTATATTATATTATATTATATTATTACATTATATTACATTATATTATATTATATTATAATATACCAGGCCATAGTGGATTCTGTCCTGTCAACCAATTCCATGGGAAATCAGGCGAACAGAACAGCTGCTCCAGCATATTGCTGTGAAACTATACCCATTTATGCTGAGTAATGGGTATAATATGTCCAAGCCAATATAACTTATAACAATCGGGGAAGCTGTGAAACTCATGGTAATTTGCACCAGCCAGCAACATATATTGCGGGATTCCGTAATGATTTAACATCATTTAACCATCCAGTAAACTAACATAGCAATGGAACATCACCATTATTGAGAGGTACTGTACATAACTGGTTGGTGGTTTGGAACAAATTGTTATTTTTCCATATATGGGCAAAAATCATCCCAACTGACGAACTCATATTTTTCAAGATGGTTACATCACCAACCAGATAATCTATAAACTATCAACAATTCGAGGAACATGCTGATGAAAAAATGGACATCTTCAGTATTTTGGACCATGGGGGTGAAAAAGAATGCCGCCAGGCGGCTCTAACAACGATTGGAGATTTCGACAAAACGAGAAACAAGAAAACAGCGATGAACTACATTCCAAATGTGGGTTTTGACTAACCAATGATGTTGATATTGGGAATGGTTAATGATTGCGTTTATACCACCTTTTTTTTAAATACACATAGAAACAATCGCGAAATCTTTTCGGGATGCGAATGCCAAACCACGCCAAGGAGGAAAGAATATCTAAAGTCACTGCAGGACTCAAAGGGTCAGGGGGTAGATTTTTGGATTTGAACATACGTAGGGTACCCCATGGTACCAATGGGTTATTACATGGTTATCATCATTTTCCCCAGTAAAAACTGGCGGGTTATTCTCATGTTCCAATAAATTGGGTATATATCCCATTCTCAGACAAACCCATTTATGATCAATGAGTATATTTGAGGTGTTTTCATGAAAGAATCCACAGTCATTTTGCATTTGCAAATGAAGATCTGGTAAACTGCGAGTACCCTCTAGGAATCTAGGAGACAAACATGATGGCAATGGACAATCCCACATTATATACCCTCTGGTAAACTAACATAACTATGGAAAATCACCATTTTCAATGGGTAAATCCACTATAAATCACCATTTTCAATAGCTATGTTAAATTACCAGAGGGTAACTCATGATTTTCAAATTGAAAAGCCAATATCCAAGCCCATGTTTGGTTGCCCGCTGGTATTCTATGGAGAAAGCAACCCAATATATGGAGGTTTGTTTGAGTTTGGTGGACTCGATACTATGGCTCATGGGCGACTGTCCAACGGAAGCCCAAGATATATGCCAAAAAAACAACAAAACATGCTCCCCCAAAACAATATATATATATATATAGGTTTGATATGCCCCTAGGATTCGTCGGGGTTTTTCGGATTCATCACCTCAGAATGACGTCGCCTTGATCTGTGGGGTATCCCTTGACCGATGGGCAGATCTGATCTCATGATGTGTCATGTTGTCTTTTCTCAAAATTGGAGTAGCCTCAGGATGCAAAATCCACTTTAGATTCAGTTTGCTAGTCATTGTTTGTTTCCCATTTGAATTGCGTTGTTGGGCTCCTCATTGTTCCTTGAATGGGACCATGGCTTGAATGGGGAAGACGCAGAACCAGCTATTTCGGCCTGGCGGCAATGGGGTCCTTACGGCCCTTCCGCACGTTTCTGCTTTGCAACTTTCGGGATGAGTCCAATTTACACTTTTTGAGGATGGTTGCAAACAAAGGTTGATCCTCGCCTGAGTCCCGCTCGAAGTGAACCAGGTCAAAGTAGAAAGTGCAAAGCCGCGGCGCAGTTGTTTATGCGCCAGTGCATAGCCATCAAGGTGAAAACCGGTCCCTCCCTATCAATTGGGATTGGGCCGATACAAAAGGAAGGTGAAGCTGGCACCTGAACAAGTTGCGTGGAGCGAAACTCACACGGGTGGTGAAATATCGCTACTAGAAACGGTATACATGGCCACTCAGTCAGTGCTAGCTCGAGAGAGCGATTGGTCGCGGAAGCATCTCGCTAGGACTTCTCGCACTTCTCCATCTGGAATTCGTGGTGCTAGAGTGTGGGCACACACCTTGCAAGGTCTTCTGCTGAACTTGGTCGTGTTTGGCCTGGTCAAGGCTTCACACTGTGGGTCTGCATGCCACACAGTACCGTGGGGTGCAAAGTGCACAGGTCTGTTGGCTGCCTTTTCTATTCCTGCTGCAACGTGACGGTCCACAACTTGGTTGAATTTTGTCTGGCGGCTGAGAACATCAGCGGCCATCGTGTCTCGTGCTTCCTTGGCACGAAGATGTATCTCCTTGTTCTTTTCCAGCTCGGTGGCATACTTCCTTTTGAAAAGGTTGAGGTGCTCTTCTAGCCTCTGGGATCTGTGGTGTTCTTGCTGGTATTGTTGTTCCAGGTGCTGAAGCTGCCGCTGGACTCGCTCCAGCTGTTGCTGGAGGTCAGGATCCTCCCTGGTTGTCTGCGTTTCCACCTCATTGGTAGATGTCATAGACAAGGGCGATGTCATACGTCTGAATGTAGCGTAACTGAGTCGCAGGAGTAGATGAAGGATGATGATCACTGCAAAGGTGATAAGAATGATGAAGGTGAGGTCGAAGTAGGTGAGTTGGTCAGGGTCGTGTGGTGGTAGTTGTGTCAGTTGGTCGCTGCTAAGTGATTGTGAGTCTGACTGCATTACTAGGTAGGCTGTGGCAAGTAAGGCTTGCATTGCTCGTTGGGGTTTTCGCAGTGCAAACTGCTCAGCGCTTTTCTTTCTGTCTGCTGCGCTTTTCTTTTTTGCTGCTATGAACTGGTCGTCGGGCTTGACGCTGGTGTAGTGTGTGCGTAGCCGCTGGGCAAGTAGTGCTGCTGCTGATGCTTTTGTCATGCCGTCTGCGTATTGTAGTTCTGATGAGACCCATTTTGTCTCTGCCTGCATGCATTTGAGCTTGTCTTGTGTAACGAGTAGTTCCACAGACGTTCGTTTGTCTGCTCCACTGTTTGGCTGGAGCTCTTGTTTCGTGAGTAGGTCGTATAGTGCTTTTGCATCTGTAACGATGCAAGGCTTGTGTGGTAGCTGACATGCGGTCATGTCGTCGATTGCCAGTGTTGGGTGCCAAATTAGCTGCCAGAAGGTGATGTTGTACATCATGGCGTCTGCTGTTTCTGACGCTGCTTGTGCTTCGGCACTCAAGCTGCTGCGTGCTACACGGGGTAGTTTCCAGCTGCGCCAGTCGACTAGGCAGTAGGGGACTGCTGCTCCATCTTTGATGCTTTTGTGCGTCATGAGGATAAGGTATCCTCCTTGGGAGGTGTTGTCGTGTCTGCATGCAAATGCTGCGTCACAGTATGCTGTGAAGGTGACGTCTGCTCTTTCTCCCAGCTTTTGGAATTGCAAACTGGCATCCGAGTGTTGCTTTGCGAATCGAAGGATTTTGTTGGCCTCCTTCAGGGTGTTTGTGGTTGCTGTGGTAACCTGACCTGCCAGTTGAGAGATCATTGCCTGTAGGTGTGGGCTTGATTGGCCCGAAGGCCATTGTAGTGCTCCGATTGTTGCTCGCAAGTTGGTTCTTTCTTTCTCAGTCACTGGTCTGTCCTTGTTATCATCAGTGAAACTGATGGGTTTTTGCTTCGAAAGGTACTTGGTGTGTTCCAAAGTGTAGTGGTTGGGTGATATTTTGTTGATTTGTGCACCGCAATACTCGAAGGAAACTCCTTCCTCCCAGGTTCTGAAATTGAACCGTTCTTGAAGTTGTGTTTTGAAGTGCTGGTAGGTGGAATTGTTGATGTTGGCACAGCCGATGATGTCGTCAACGTGTAGGCCAAAAATGGCACAGAGTGGTGGTGATGTGTGTTGATTGCCCTTGCTGTCTGTGGTGGTGGTCCATTGTTCATACGGTGCTTTGTGGTCGTAAAGTAGATATAGACATGCGTCCAGTGGATGTTGTTGTGCACCTAGTGAAATCAAGCGTTCCTTGGCTTCTAGGAACCATGCTCGTGGGGCATCACACAACCCATACATAGGTTTCTTCAGTCGTAGAAGCTTTGAGCCATTGCTTGGTAGGCCCAACATTCTGTTTGCTTCGTTGCTGAGTCGTATCCACAGGGTTCTGCTTGCTTCGTGCTCTTTGCCTTGGAGGAAGGCTGTGGATATGTCTGCTGAGAATGTGAGCCAGCCGTTCATTGCTGCTATGACCAGGATGTAGTTGCGTGCTAAACGGCTGAGTGTAGGAGACTCTGTTGTGAGAACACCTGCGAGGGCGTCGGGGTCGCGAAACCCCTGGGTGATCAGGCGTGCCTTGGCGCGTGGTGTGCCATCGGCATGTTTGCTCCACTTTAGGATGAAGTGGGCCTTCAAGACTCTTCCTTCTGGAGCACTGCTTTGGTCATCAATTTCCCACACATCATTTTGGAAGAAAGATGCCAATTCTGCTTTCTTTGCTTCGGCAAAGCTGAGTCGGTCTTCCAGGGTCATATTTTTCTCACTGAGTTGTTCTTTTCTTGCTTTGGCCTTGGCCTTTGTTTGTGGCTGACGTTTGTTCTTGCTGGTGTTGGTGCTGCTAGGCTCAATGTATGTGCTGTGGCCATTGCTTGCTGTGTAGAAGCAAGTTGCTGCTTGCTGCCGACTTGCCTGGAGGATTTTGAAACAGGTGCTACCTGTCCATGGCTGTGCTTCCTCCTGTTGCTGCTGGTGTGTGGTGTCACGCTTGTTGCGCCATCTGTCATGGCTTGTATATGCTGGGTACTTCGTGACCCGGTCTTTGCCTAGGTAGGCAAGTGGTATGGGGCAAGTGGCCTCATCTGGCTCATACTTGCTGGTTCGTGCCAAGTAGTGCTTCCTAATGAGCCATCCTTTCTTGAGTTGCCACTCGTCTTGAGTGTCACCGAGTTCAATGGTGCCATCGCTGATGATATGCCATCCAGGTGGGAGACTTTGGTTGGAGTCTGACAGTAGGTCGATGTTATCGTAGGTGTGGTATGTTTGCTCTGTGATGTCTTTCTCCTCAGGCTGCGTTGCTCTGTGGTAAGGTGTGCTGGTATTGTGTGGTCGTTCTTCTCTTGCAAAGGTCTCTCTGTTGGGGCCATAGGTGACCATGCCATGGTGTGGCTGGTAGAGAGACAATGTCTCTTGCCTGTCAACTCGTGCTCTGAGTTGTTCAAAGGTTTCGCCCGGCTGCCTGGGCTGGTAGAGTTGTTGTTGGTGCGCAGGTATGGCTGGTGTGTTTGCTGCTGGGAGTGTTGCCGCAGTGGTTGGTGGATCTGGCTCATGTTGTGGCTCTGTCGTCCCTGTTGAATCAGTTGGTGTTGGTGGAATTGCTGGTAGATCTGCGCTGTGATTGGGCTCATGGTCTGTTTCTATGGTCATATCCTCTGTTGTAGGAGTGTTCAGAACGGTTGGGAAATTGCTGGTAGTGGTTGGTGGTGTTGTGGTAGTGTGGGTAGAATTGTGGTTGCTTCGGACTGTGAAGGTGGTGGTGCCTGTCCAGTTGTAGGGCATCTCGCGGCCCGCAGTCTCTTCAGTCCAGTCATCTTGCATCACAAACCTCTGGGAGTGTGGCGGTGATCTCCTGATGGTTGTGAGTCTATCATTCCTGAATGTCAGGCATGGCACATTGGGGTCTTCAGTGGGCACAAATAGTTCACGTCGTGGTTGTACGTGAATTCGGATCCAAGTGATGCCGTCTTCGGAGACGTCCCAGTGATCCGCTGCGTCAACGATGGCCATTGGTTGATCTCCGTCGGGATCTGGTGGCGGTGCTTCTTGCTCAATGGCGTCCTCTTCCTCATCTTCGGTCACAACTTCTTCCCTTTTCCTTTTGTTGCTCTTGTTGAGGTCGTAGTAGAGTGTTGTGCTTCGGTTGCGCACTGCTTCGAGTGCTTGTTTTGCTTTGTGTGTGGTAGTGGTGGTGGGGTCATCGGTGGTGGTCGTGTGGGGTGTATTTGGTCGTAGGTGTTCTGCTGATGCTCTGAGAAGAGTTGTGCCGTGAACAAGCCAGTAGTTGTTTGTGGTTGGACCTGCCCGGCCTGGCTCGACCATCGTGATGATGGCTGGGCCCTTCCACCGGATTTTTGGTCCTGCACCTCCTGGCGCGTCACGCCAATAAAACACCTCTTGCCCTGTGTGGAAGATGTGCTGCTGTGCTTGGTGCTGTCGTAGGAGGGCTCGTCTGAGCCGGGCATCGTTGTCAGCCTTTGTGACGGCTGTAGCTGCTTGTTGTTTCAGGTGGAGCTTGTGGAGCATTTGCTCACTGGGGGTGAGTTGGGCAATGGTGAGGTCTTCATCCATCAGGTGGCCTGGTAGCTTTGGGACAAATCCAAATGTCCATTGTGTTGCTGAATATCCTTGTAAATTGGGTGTGTTGTTGATTTGAGGTATGACGTATGTGAGTGCCTGTGAGATGCTGTCTCTGGTGATTGGTGTTGCATTGTCTGCCAGGTATAATTCGACGGCTCGTCTCAGAACCTGATGTCGCCGCTCGAGTAGCCCCAGGCGGGCATGTGCTTGTCCTGGGTTGATGTTGAGGAAGACCCCGTGGTCAGATGCCCAATTGCGAAGGGCCTCGCTGGACCATCCTCTGTGGTCGTCGATTTGTAGGGTTGTAGGTGGTCCGAAGTGTCGGATCCAAGCTCGTTCGAGAGCTTGGATGAAGTCTGGAGTCTTTTCCGAATCGAGGACTCGTGCGGCCATCAACTTGGTGTTAGCATCCATGATGGCAAGGATTGGGATGGTCTTGTCCTGCTTGGTGTCTTGTTTGTTGTGGCTGTTGGTTGAAATCCAAAGTGTGTCTGCCAGTATGCGGTCGTTGAAGGTGGTGCCGTGTCGTAGCGTGCTCTTGGATAGTTGTGGTGGTGGTTTGTGGAGGTAGCATAGGTCGCAGTGGTGGTTTGCTGCTGCTTCAAGTAGCTTGTTGCTGGCATTGCGGCTCTTGAGGAGTCTTGTCAACTCCTTGTTTGTTGGATGTCCAAGGTTCCTGTGTAGTCGCTGTATGGTGCGCTCTGCTGCCTGCTTGTTGGTCTCGTCGAGACGTGTGAGAATGCCAGTGTTGTCTGTTGTGGGTGCTTGCTCTACTGGTACCATGCTGGCATCGGCTGATTCTGCCGGAGTGTTTTCTGCTGCTTCTGCTGGTCGCTCTGATGGAGCCTGTGATTGTGCTGCTGATGGCTCTGCTTCCTCGTCGCTGTTGCCTTGGTATGCACTCTCGGTGGTGACGTAGTGGTGGTGGAGAAACTCATCTATGAGCTGTGCCCATTGTGCACACATTACTGGGGCATAGACGCCCGCTGCTGCTGCTCCGGAACCAGTGCCAGGTGAGGTGCCTTCGATCGGAAGGTGATAGTGGTTGTCGCGACATGTCCAGTGGAAGGCTTGGGCCAGGCGCTGATCGGTGAATCTGAGAGTTGTTGGTCTCTTGATGAACTGTGGTTGCCCTTGGTGGTCTGGTAGTGTTGCGCCGTATTGGCACTGGTGGATGAGGGCATCATACCCGGGTGTTTGTTGGAAGGTTGTGGTTTCCCATGCTGCTGAGGGCTGTGGTTGCTCAATGGTGCCATGTCGCTTGCCTTGCTGTTGCTTGCGAAACACCTTGCTGGTGAATGCCAAATGTGTGTGTTCCTCGTAATCACGAGTGGCCTGTAGAAATTCTGCTTGTGCTGAGCTGCGGACTGCAAGTCGTTGAAGTGGAGACCACTTCTTGCATGGTGGTGCTAGCCAGACATAATCGGGCTGGACTTGGTAGTACAAGCGCATGAACTGCTGCCTGTGTTGTGAGGACGTGAAGTCCCAGCCATTTGCCCGATCAAATATCTGGACACTGTAGCCGCGCTGTTGCATAGCCTTGGCAAGGTTGCCACTGCCGGAGTAGACTTCCCAGAACTGGAGTTGCTTCCTATCGTGAGCTCTGAGGATGCTCTCAATTGCTGCTTGCCTTCTGTTCTCGGTGGTGGAGATGTGGTATTGGATGCTGTCAAGCATCTTGCTGGTGAGTGGTCTGCTGACCAGGTCGTGGTCGGTGTTGTATGGTGGTGTTGTTTGTTGATTGTCGTGGATAGTGGTGTTGTTGTTGTCGTGAGTAGTAGTGTTGTTCACAGTTACAACTGATGGTTGAGTGGTGGTTGTATCATCGTAGCAAGTCATGGCGACGTCTGGGGCGCTTCTGCCAGTTGTAGTGATGTAGTGGTTGAGGTCGTAGGTGTTATCGTCGTTGTGAGTTGAATGGTTGTTGAGGACCTCGTAGGTCTCAGTTGTCACAAGGTCGTAATGGTAGTCAGTGGTGGAAGGTTCTGTTGTCTGTAGGTCGTCAAGTTGTAGTAGGTGCTCCTGTCGCTTGCCAAGTGGTATCTTTTGCCAGTTTATGCCATCTGTGGAATAGGTGTCAGTCGTGTAGTCGACCTTGAGCTGGAGAGCTTTCAAAATTGGTCTGCCGACCAGAAGTGGTGTGGCGCCCTCCACGATGAAGCATTGGATTCGCCCAGCTATGCCGTTGATGAAGGTTGGCATGTGCACAGACCAGGCTGAGTGCATCTCGGTGTCGCCGCCAAAGTGGAAGAGCTTGTCGGCCGCTCGAAACCTGAAATGCTCCACTGGGACACCAAGGTTGTGAACATGTTGCAGGTAGGCCATCAAGGTGTGGTGGCCAGCTACCATGGTGCTTGCTCCTCCATCCTGAGTCGCGTAGTAGTGGAGATCAGGTGTGGTAGTGTTGATGTAGGTGCTGGTGCTGTCGTCATGGATCATGAAGGCAGAGTGGCTGGTGGTTCTGGTCTTTTTGGCTGGTGAATTGTTGCCTGAGTTGTTGGGTCGAGTTGCGCGTTGTGGGCAGTCGGCTGCATAGTGGCCAGGTTGGTTGCAACGAAGACAAACTACGTTGTTGTCGCCACCAAGTGCTGCTCGTCCTCGAGACTTCGCATCGCCTTTCTGTGGTGGTGATGCATTCTTTCCTCCTCCTTTGCCCTTTCCTTTGTTCTTGCCCTTCTTGCCGCCCTTGTTGTTGGGAGGGAAAGGACGTTGCTGGGAGGATGAGCTGGTGGTTGTCTCAGGACCTAGAGCCACCACGGGCCAAAAGCCACGATTGGCTTTGATTTCTGCAAATCTTCGTCGTGCGTCCAAGTAGGTCGCATATGCTTCCTCGGCCTCAGGGTCGTTGTTTTCTGGCAGATCATAGTCTGGGTAGTAGTCCTCGGCCGCCGTCATGCCATCTTCATGTTCATAGGCGTCCTCAAACTCAAGGACGTCGTTGGACTCAAACACCTCGTCATACTGTGTGTCATCAGCATCATCGCCGTAGAAATCGGCAGTCTCATAGTATGCCTCATCATCGAAGTCTTCGTCAGCGACATAGGCAGTCTGCCGTCTTGTCCATTGGGATGATCTGTGTGTTCCTTTTCCACGCTGGTCAAAAGTTGTTCTTCCTCGGTAGTCTTGGCCGAGGAAGTAGTAGAGGGCTTCCTCAACTGCGTTCTCAGTCATTCTGCTCTGGCCTTCGGGTCAACTGGTAGAAGAAGCGGTCAATGGCCTTCGGGCACTCCACGCGGTCATTGTACTTGAAACTCCTGTCAAGTAGTGCGATGGTATCATCAAAGCCACTCTCAGACTCAATCAACTTCTCCGCATCACGCTCAACAAGCTTCCAGGCTGCTCCCGTCAGGGAGGTGAGCAGATTGATCACTGCTTCCTTGGGTTTCTTTTGTAGCTTCATTTTCATCTTGTAGAGCAAGACACGGGCTCGATACTCCCTGTAGTCAGCTGGTCGATTGCTGAAAATTGGGATGTAGTTGTCCTTCAAAGTGTCAGGGCTGACTGTCTCCTGCTTAGAGCCAGACATCTTCGGCGGCCCCTTCACGGGGCTCCGCCTACCAATTTGAGGATGGTTGCAAACAAAGGTTGATCCTCGCCTGAGTCCCGCTCGAAGTGAACCAGGTCAAAGTAGAAAGTGCAAAGCCGCGGCGCAGTTGTTTATGCGCCAGTGCATAGCCATCAAGGTGAAAACCGGTCCCTCCCTATCAATTGGGATTGGGCCGATACAAAAGGAAGGTGAAGCTGGCACCTGAACAAGTTGCGTGGAGCGAAACTCACAGTGTGCAAATTAAAAACAGGACCTTAGTTGTGTAAGAAGAGTACGAGTGTACCTGTCACGTCTATGGACAAATACCCCAGTAAGATCCAAATAACAAAATTAAGCTCGATACCCAATCAAACAAAACAAAACTGACAAAAATTTCAGAGGTGGCAACGCTAAGAGAAACAGAAGACCCTGAAATTCAAAATACAAATGATCCAACTTAAGCAACCTCACAAAATAGTTTCCACTCACGTCAGGGAGAATCGAGCACGGCACCCTTGAACACCCCAGTGCAAGGAAACCCCTTACTACCCGATCTGTTACACCTGCAGTTGGCATTCACCCCCACTACTTGTGAGTGTGGCTACCAACTGTTTGAACCGAGAGGGGCTTGACCCAAAGGGGGTACGGGAAAAATGACAGCAGTAGCTACGGCATTCAGGGCGCACTCAGAGTCCGCTCAGTAGTTCTTTTCCAAGTATCATCGTCATTGGGAGCTGCAGGGCACTCTTGCGGTGCATGCTGCTTTCAAAATTGTTCCAATGCGATCGAGTTAGCGATGATCGCCAGCTCGACAGTATTGATGCAGGCTTGCAAGCGTGGAGCTCCTTCAGCAAGAGTTGTCGGCTTAAATGAATGCTCAACAGAGGGCAGAAAGGCAGTTTGTGTCAGCAGTACAAAGATCTTCTGTGGCGTTCAATTCTTTGGACAGGAACCAATTTTATCAGCGAAATATTCCACAGAAGTTCTGGACGCGCAACTTGCGTCAGCTGTGTCAAGGTCCTCTGTACGGTGGGATTGAACATTCGCTTGCATAAGTTGTAGCTGTCGGCTTATAACTGCACGTTCTGTTACATTGGCTCGGGCTTCTATACGGATGCGCAGACTCTTTAGGCAACAACAAGCCGTGCGTATGGCTCTGCAATCCTGCTCAGTGATTACGCCTACAAGGAGTTCTGTTTGCTGCAATAAGGCATAAGTGTCTTCCAGTGTCCGTTGGGTATGCGACAGTTTGCAAACATAGTCTTGTAGGAGGAGGTCTTGTGCCTCATTACTGGCTTCACGTGGCTTGCTTGCACCGGATGCATGGAAATGCAAACGAGCGCAGGTCAGCCCTCAAGGTAAGAATTGACGTCCCAATGCTAGGCACAATCATCGAACAAAATGGTGATGGGCTTCTAGAAGATTCCCACATGCCAGTGGGATGGCCATTACACATCGATGGTGCCGTCCGGCAATGTTGTATTCACCGATCCTCAACCCTCCAAGAGCTCGACGATATGTTAAGAGAATACGACATGAAAAGAGAATTCAGTAGAAATAAATCACAACGCACCCAATGGTCTCACAACGCAGTGTGGAACTGGAACCGAAGACAGGATACACACTGCAGTTGACTCCGAGCCGGCCATTGCGCAGAAATCTTCCCCTTCTTATGAAGTCAAAGATGGTGACATTCGCCGTGCAGTAGCCGCTATCACAGACCTGCCGTCCTCACGCTGCCTGACAGTCCCTTCATCCTCGCATTGGGGACGCCAGCAGCCCAAAATATCCCACCACAAACCAGCACCTTAGCACAGAGAGCCCTGGAGGAATGGGAACGCATCCTGTGCGAAAAAAAGCAGTTGCGATCCTTGAACAGATGCAAGCCCTCATCCAAAAAGATGGCGGCGAAATGCTCATTGCTATTGTCCTTGACAGGCCACTCGCGGACGCCGAGGCACCAGTGGACGACCCTGAAATGACCAAGATTGTGCTCAAAAAGCAAAGCCATCCACTTATTACGCAAATGATCAAGCCAGCAGGAAGTAGTTTTTTTTTTTCCTCCGGTTTGGCCGATTCGCACTAGGCACGGTCCTTACAATTGAGTAAGCGGTGAAAAGCATTCAGAAAAAGGACACGTGTGGTCCCTAAAACGCAGGCAAATCATCATATCAACACCAACCAAAACCAAAAAAGAGCAACCAAAAACGACCCGCAAATCCCCCAGCCAGATTTGCGTTTCGCCAAAAGGCAAAACAACGAAGCAACAAAGAACGGGGCCGGGCCCAAACAAACAACCAAACCAACCATTCAGTGATTTGCCAAGGATACAGTGACAGAAGTCACTGCATCGTCATCAAAAACATGCAAACTAATTAGGTACTGCAGAACGAAAAAATATAGTGCACGATCACCCAGAATCTCATCTCCTGTAATCCATTGCTGTTGCTCCAGCTCTCTGATAAGTAGGCAAATCAGGAATCGTTGATAGTACAATTCGTACCAGTTGCCAGTCTCATTATCACAGTTAATCATATGAAGAGAAGTGAAGTCGGAGTCCAGTCTCTATAGTGAGATGCTGCCGCAGTGGTGATGTGACTTGATACCCCCCCCGCGGGGGGTAGGGATTGACAGCCTGTAGGTCATGCAGGACAAAATGTGTAATTCACCACAAATGCTGTCAAATCGTAGGAAGCCAAGAGGACCTGAAAAGGTGCCAATGGCGAGCTGTAGCCACAAAAGAAATGGATGATCCTCTCCGTATAGTCTTTGCAGATGAATAAGATGCACTCATGCAGAGGGTAGGCTTAAGCAAGAAAGATTGCTACTAGCGAACTGTACACAATTGTGCCGCTCTCGCATGTCAGTCGTGCTCACGCCACAAACTTGAAAAGGTGACTAGGTGCGCTGTACCAGCACCAGATTGACAAGCAGAATTTACAAGGTGTCATCGTCCCTGCGAAAGAAAACTGCTGCAAATCAGCTGTTCCAGAGGTTCGCAGTGCATCTCGCATAAGGCCACTCTCCCCTAGAGTAAGCCAGTAGCAGAATCACAACGTCCCATCAGCGCACCGATCCATGTGGGCAGGCTTTGCTGCACTAGGGCGCTCCAGACTGAACAGCAGGAAGCACCACTGGACAGCGCCAGTAGAGCTCACTGCAGTGCAGCCTGGTCCATGGCTCTACCGGGGATCTACCGCCCCTCCCTGAGAATACGCAGAAACAAAACAAAAAGAGAAGGGCCCTCCCCAGACAGCCAACGAGAAAGCCACAAAAATCAAACAGCCAAAGGCAAACAACAAGAACCAAAAAGAGGTAAAACGGAGAGGGGGGGACGGTGACAAAAGTCTGCCCTACCGCAAACGAATTCCTAGGAGCCAAAGCTAAGACCAATATAGTAGGGTGAAATGACAGAGCACTGATGTAGGGCGGTAACCTCAGTATCCAGGCAGCAGGTTAACCAGAAGGCACCAATTTAAACAAGTCAATCAAACAAAAAAGCCAAAGAGAACCCTGCCATCATGGGGGGAAGCAAACCACACAAGGGGGAGAGGCCAAAACAAAGCACACACAACGACACCGGCCACACAGAAGGAACGAGGAGAGGAGCCAGGAGGCAGCAGAGGACAGAGGGAGAGGGACACACCCGCACCAGAAGGGGTACAATTGTGCCTTAGCGGAGTTCAAAGAAGGGGCCACGGATCATACAATGATGAATACCTCAGTGAGGGTGCACACAGCACTCCAACAACACGGGAAACATGGTGTAGAGGGAAAGATCCCCACACAGGGCCAAAGGCCTTTAATGCCATGAGACACAATGAAGAGGAGAAATCAATGCACAGCAATCACTCCAAGCACGAAGGCAAAGCAACAAGGCCGTCGCCGGGAGCAACGATACCCCGAGGGAGGGACCAGTAAAACCTGGACCGAGGCGCCAAGTAGGAACATCCGAGGGGGAGTGAGGGTCACGTCAGGCAGGGAACAGTAACCTAAACTAAAAACAGACAGTAAGAGGCACCAACACCTAGTTTCGCGCTGCATATGGTAAAATCTATAGATGAGTTAGTGAATTCAAGTGCCTTAGTTGGTGAAAAAGGGTGGGGGAGGTGGGTGGCTCATAACGACGACATCTAGGGACAACACCAGCATCTTTACCCATCGATGATTGTCAGGCACAGACTGTGAAAAAGCGAATGCGTGCACAAGGCTTTCAACAGAGGCAACCTTAGTACAAGCTAAGCGCGTGACGGGACAAACATGGAGAGAACAGGTATTGACGGTGCCATGGGCACGATCTGTTAAGCTTACGCTGGCACCCGCACACAAAGCCAATTGTGGCTCACAACTGCTGGCGAGATCTAGATTGGTTGGAGCCAGGCATGTGTCACATGAGGAACCTAACAATTATAAATGGGAAAGGTGTGTCTCCTGCTGCATACCAGTGCACCTGTCACGTCCTTGGACAGACACACTGGGTATGCACAGTTCACTGAAGTAGATGTGACAAATGAACCTATTAGACACGAAAGTCATCTTCCACCACCGGGATTGATGAAAACAAAACCAACTAATGGGTGAAAAACCGGAGTGAAACAGAAAAACGAGAAGAGGAGGGGGGTGGAAACACGGAGGAAAGTGTGAA